ATATTATAATGTAATAATAGTAATAAAGTATAATAAATGTAATTCACTTGAGTTATCCTGAAAGCATCCCACCACCTCAACCTCCGGTCTATGGAAAAATTGTCTTCCATGAAACCAGTCCCTGATGCCAAAAAGGTTGGTTACTAGTGCTTTAAATAACCCAGTGGTTCTCAAATGGGGGCTAGTTGCTCCCCAGGGAACATTTGGCCATGTCTGGAGATGTTTTTCATGGCTATGATGTGGGGTTGCTACTGATACTAAGGGGGCAGAGGCCAGGGATGCAGCTTATAATACATAAAACAGATTCCCTAAAACAAAGATTTTCTCCTATGTTTTTCTCTAGAAGTTTTAGAGTTTTAGCTCCTACATTTAGGTCTGTGGTTCTTTCTGAATTAATTATTGAATATGATATAAAGAAAGAGTCAAGTTTCCCCTTTTTTGCATGTAAATATCTAATTAATAATATACCGCTATTTATTGAAAAGACTACTCTTTCTTCATTGGATTTCCTTGACATCTTCACTGAAAATTGATCATATATGGATTCCAGATCTGGAGTCCTAGGGAGGCACAGAGTTTTCCTGGGGAGGAGGCTTGGAGATCTCAGACCGGTGTGAGTTCATTCATTCAACAAATATTACAGAACACACAGCAATAAGCAAGAGACAGTCCCCTGCTACATCCTCTGAGCAGAAAAGAACCCAATAAATAAATGGCAGCCACAAAAAAAAAGAAAATTGATCATATATGAAGATCTGTTTGTTTCTGGGTTCTTTGTTCTGTTCCACTGATCTTTTTGTCTATCTTTATAACAATATGATACTTTCTTGATTACTAGTTTTATAATAATTGTGACATTGTTATAAAAACTGTTAAAATTAGGCAATGTTAATTTGTTCTTTTTTTTTTTTTAAAAAGTTTTTAGACTATTCTAGGTCCTTTGTAGTTTAATTTAAACATTAGAGTTGGCCTGCCAATTCTGATATTTTCATTGAGATTACATTTAATCTATAGATTAATTCAGAAGTTGGTAAGGTTATTTTAAACTGATGTCATTAAAAACTGGAATTGTATATTGTTAGTCAACAACTTCTGATTCTGGGCTCGTTAAACAATCGGATAGATAGTTTGTCTTCTGAAGAGAATGCCGTGATTGAAGGATGTGAATGGTTAGTCTTCTCTTAATATGATTTTCCCTGTAAAATACAACCAAGTATTCTGATTGTAGCATCATTTTTTATAAATTTGACTAATAGGAGTTTACCCATAACAATAATGTCACCAATGCATGAGCAAATCAGGTCCTGAGTTTTTGAGATTGAAATGGTATCCTGGGTGGTGGGGATTTTACCAATTTAATGTTGCCTTGAAGCAACCAGATTTGTTCAAGTCACATCCCTCTGCCTCTTGACCAGCTATCTTTGAAAAATTAGCATTCATTGTGGATGTCCAAAGCACAAGTTATTGGTACCTATGCTGTGACTCCAAAGTTCTTGTTTTAATCCCCAGCCTGTGACATCTTTTGACAAATCATTTGAAAAACAGAATTGGCCATTTGCAAACTCACTTTTATTTTTATTTTATTTTATTTTATTTTATTTTGTAGAGACTGGGTCTTGCTATGTTGCCCAAGCTAGTCTTGAACTCCTGGGCTTAAACTCTCTATGCACTGTGTCGTCCATAAAGAAATGCTGGCTAGCCAAAAAATGTCATCTGAACTTAACAACGTTTTGCAGGATGTGATTAAAATTATCAACCACATTAAAGTATATGCCCTTAACACCTGTCTGTTCATGCAGTTCTGTGAGGAGATGGACACAGAGCACACGTCTTCTCTTATACACAGAAGTGAGATGGCTTTATTTTTTCTTTTTTTTGAATTGGAGTCTCACTCCATCACCCAGGCTGGAGTGCAGTGGCATGCTCACGGCCACCCCGGCATCGACTTGCTAGGCTCCAGTGAACCTTCCGACTCAGCCTTCCAAGTAGCTTGAACTACAGGCGCCTGCTACCACACCGAGCTAATTTTTGATTTATTGTAGAGATGAGGTCTCACCAAGTTGCCTGGGCTGGTCTCAAATCCGCGGGCTCAGGCAATCCACTTGCCTCAGCCTCCCAAAATGCTGTGATTACCGGCTGAGTCACTGAGTCCGGCCGTGAGATGGCTTTCTAAAGGTAGATCACTAGCCAGAGTTGAGTTATGCTCCCCTCTCGGCCTCCCAATGTGCTGGGATTACAGATGTGAACCACTGTACCCAGCCTCTGCCACTTTTAATTTATTTTTTATTTATTTAATTTTTTTGAGTTGGAGTCTCGCCCAGACTGGAGTACAGTGGACACTCCCGGCCACTGCAGCCTCGACCTGCTGGGCTCAGGCGATCCTCCCGCCTCAGCCTTCCAAGTAGCTGGAACTACAGGTGTGTGCTACCGCTCCTAGCTAATTTTTGATTTATTGTAGAGATGAGGTCTCGCCAAGTTGCCCGGGTTAGATCTTGAACCCGTGGGCTCAGGCAATCCACTTGCCTTGGCCTCCCAAAGTGCTGGGATTACAGACTGAGCCACTGAGCCCAGCCTCTGCCACTTTTAATACAGAACTAGTTCAAGGTTTCCTGAGTGCAGTTAGTACATTTACCTTTTTAGGGCTTCTTGGTTTTCAAAGGCTTTCATATATGATTGATTTAATTCTATTCCTTACTGCTGTGACCTAACAAAATTCATCATTATCTCTGACTTTTCCTGAACTCCTGTTGGGCAGGACTAAGTGAGCTTTGAAAAAAGAAGATGAAAGAGAGATGCAATCCCTGTTTCCAATGTAGGTTGTTGCTGGTGCCTATCTTCACAGAATTGGTTTAGAAAGATGGCCATAAACCTCTCTCCTTGTCTTAAAGAATGCTAACATTCTTTTTTAAATTTTATTTATATTTATTTTTATTACTATAAAGAGGTGGGGTACAATTCAGGGTTAGGTATACAAACGTTGATTATGCAGGTACCCTTGTTGATGATGGATGCTAACATTCTTTTTTTTTTGAGTAGGAGTCTCACTCTGTTGCCCAGACTGGAGTGCAGTGGCACGCTCCTGGCCACTGCAGCCTCAACCTGCTGGGCTCTGGCGATCCTTCCACCTCAGCCTTCCAAGTAGCTGGAACTACAGGCGCGCGCTACCACACCCGGCTAATTTATTTATTTATTTATTGTAGAGATGACGTCTTGTCAAGTTGCCCAGGCGGGTCTGGAACCCTTGGGCTCAGGCAATCCACTCACCTCAGCCTCCCAAAGCACAGGATTACAGGCTGCGCCACCGAGCCCGGCTGATGCTAACATTCTTTAAGGACATTATGTGTTGCTCCTAAAATTTCATGTGTCTGTCAATGTCTTTTCATTGTGTGGAACTGAATGGAGAAGAAGGAAGAGTGTGGTTTTGGGATATGTGTACAATGAATCCTGCTGACTGATAGAAAGTGATGCGATATCAGTTAAAACGTATGAGAATTAAAATTAGGAAAATTAGTGCCTTAGTTCTTGGGGTAGATAGAAGACAGTAGCTGGATTGTGGATAGAGATTACCAGTGCTAGACAAGACATCCATCCATGCTTGCTTGCTACTTCTTAGAAGATCTCTTCATAGATTCTTTTGTTCATGCATTCATGTAAGCAAACATGAGCTGGTATGATGCTGGGAACTGTGGAGCAATGCAAGGATGAATCAGAGATGGTCCTGCCCTGATAAGAAAAAATATAACATTTACAAAAGGAAGCATTATCCATGTAACCCTACCTCTAATTGTAATCCTGGTAGGTGCTTGATATATGCCATGCGTTTGTTGAAACCATTTGTGGTATCAGGGTGGAACAGATAAAGCTTAAGCTTGCATGCAGCGATGGAAAATGGAATTTTATAGTCAGAGAGAACAACAAGGGCAAAGACACAATGGATGGAAAACAGCTTTGCACAGAAATATAAAATGACTTTGTTTGGCTGCAGCATGGAAGGTCACGATGCAAATAGTGAGTTCTTTTTTTTTTTTTTTTTTTTTTGAGTGGAGGTCTCATTCTGTCGCCCAGGCTGAAGTGCAGTGGCAAAAACCCTGGCTCACGACAGCCTCAATCTCCTGGGTTCAGGTGATCCTTCCGCCTCAGCCTTCCGAGTCACTGGGACTGCAGGCATGCGCTTCCACGCCCAGCTAATTTTTTTATTTTTATTTTGTAGAGACAGCAAATCATTATGTTTCCCAGGTTAGTCTGGAACTCCTGGGCTCAAGCCTTGGCTTCCCAAAGTGCTGGGAACACAGGCGTAAGCCACTGTGCCTGGCCAAGAAATAATCTTTGGAGAAAGTAGCTTGGGAATCACCTATCTGACAGTGTGTGTATATTTTTAACTTACATCCAAATAATGCTGATTGAGATGTTAGAATTTCCCTTACATAGGGTAGACTTAAGTTATTGTGGAATGAGATGGGGTATGAGAAGGGAGTGGGTGGAAAAGATACTGTAGGAAGAAAGAAAAAAATGGAGAATGAAGGAAATTGATCAAAACTGTCTTTGTTCTTCAAAGTAATATATCCAGGCAAGATATTTAGAATGAAATACAATAATTTAATATTTTCATTAATTAGAAGACTCTAATTTTGTAATCTGCCAAAGCAATGGAAACAAACAACCCCTCACCCCCCTAAAAAAAAACCTCCCTTAGCTACTCTAGGAACCAGCGGCATCCCCATCACTGCCAGGCCCCTATCTAGACTTACTGAATCAGAATGACCAGGCTATTACACGCATATTCCAGCTTGAGAAGCCCTGCTCTAACCTACTGTCCTTTAGAGTCAAGATTGTGCTGAAAAGAATTCCTAGCTGGTGCGGCGGCTCCTGGCGTCTTTCACCAGGTGGCAGTAGCCCCCTCGCTTCCTCCCTGCGGCACCCCATTGTTCCTGGGCGGCCGGAGTGGTGGTGGTGCTGGTGCTGGGGGAGGGGTTGGGGCAAGGCTTGTGGGAATGGTGGGCGGGGTCCCGTCTGCCCAATGGACTTGGGAGGCGGGGTTCTACTTCAGCCGCTCCTCGGGCCGCAAACGCGTCACGCGTCCCGGGCTCACCCGGGCTCAGTATGTGGCGCTTACCCCGAGCGCTGTGTGTGCACGCTGCGAAGACCAGCAGGCTCTCAGGACCTTGGAACAGGCCTGCCGTCTTCATGTCCACGCTGCTGATCAATCAGCCCCAGTACGCCTGGCTAAAAGAGCTAGGGCTCCGCGAGGAAAACGAGGGCGTGTATAATGGAAGCTGGGGAGGCCGGGGAGAGGTACGTGGGCCCCGGGAAATCTCTGCAGCCGCGGGGTACGCCTGGAGGCTGGGCCCTACCCGTTCCTCGCTGGCGCTGTAGGCGGTGATACCGGGTGGCAAGTTTAGAAGCTCCTTGATAAAAGTTTTCTCATGTAGGCGATTTTTTAGAAAGCAGACTTAGGTTTCAGGTCCTTGGGTGCTTTGGAGAATCGATGCCATTTTGGAGCTCGTAGGGGGCTAAATCTACGTGTACTTAAAAGTTATAGCAGAGTTGGAATCTGTCGTGAGAAACGTCACACAGCGGTGCAGTTGAGTTTAATTTAGAGCTTGACTGTGGCTCTTCAGATGTGACATGCGCCGCAGGTAGCGTTCTCCTGTGTGATTTTATGTTGTCCTCTTTCCTGAAATCCTTGGGAGTTTGCAAGCTCGGGCTTGTTGAAATTCTGTTTTCGTTGGCTGTGAACTTCCTTGAGGATCGGGTTTTTAGCGTTTCTCTGTTGCCTAGAGCTTAAAACTGCGCCTGGCATCCAGTTACTGGTTTTTTGTTTTTTGAGTCAGAGTCTCACTCTGTCACCCAGGCTGGAGTGCAATGGCCCGCTCAGGGCCACCGCAACCTCGACCTGCTAGGCTTAGGCGATCCTTCTGCATCAGCTTTCAAGTAGCTGGAACTAGAGGCCTGCGGCACCATGCTCGGCTAATTTTTTGATTTATTGTAGGGACGAGGTCTTGCCAAGTTGCCCAGGTTGGTCTTGAACCCTTGGGCTCAGGCAGTCTTTTCCCCTCAGCCTCCCAAAGTTCTGGGATTACAGGCTTGAGCCACCACGCCTGGCAGTTTGTTCTGTTATTAATGGAAAAGTAAATAACTGGTTATGTTAAGGATTTTACTTATATACCTAATATTTAGATGGCAAGGGTGAGTTTTGCAGAAAGGTAGTTCCTGATGTTTAGGTCAGAAATGAAAGACTCAACCTCTACAGAGTGGTTTATTTGTAGCAGAAGTTAACTTAAAGTTTCCAAGTTTGAATATTATATCTCAATCATTTTTTTTCTTCTGTTTTTCCCCATTTGGGCTGATCCTTCAATTCAGAAGGGATTACATTTTCTATATATGATGGTCATCTTTTTCTTTTAAGGTTATTATGACCTATTGTCCTGCTAACAATGAGCCAATAGCAAGAGTCCGACAGGTGAGTTTTTTTGCTTTTTGTTTTTAAATTCAAACTACACATGGGGAGCTTGGGCTTGCTTTTTTTAGAGGCAGAAGTCAAGAATAATACACAATTACAAATGCTAAGAATAATGTATTTCTTTTTCATTTGCCATTTAGGAAGATGAAGGGAGAGCTGTCCACTACTGGGTGGGAAGTGGGGGTGTGCCCTGGAAAAGGTGAACTTTGAAGAGACTAGAGAAGGAAGGGGGTCCGTTTAAGGCAGTGCTTCTGAAATGCCTGAGGGTTTTGTTTGTAGGAAGGTTAGGAGTCCTTAAGTCTGGGTTGGAGCCTGAGATTCTGCATTTCTAGTGTATCTCAGGTGTGTTCCTTGATGAGACTAATGGGCCTTGCTTTCAAAAGTGTGGTTTTAGAGTGCAGCTAGGGTCTAACCTGTTTTTCTGTATTCTAGTCAGTTTTTGGAAGCTATGTAAGTCATTCTCAGCTGTAAATATTAGGGACACCTAGAGATTTTTCCAGTTCTTTTCCAGAAATGTCTCTGTGCTCTAGAAGATCATCATCACTTCCCTTTCCTTTACCCTCTCTCTCTCTAATTCTTACTTTAGGCCAGTGTTGCGGACTATGAAGAAACTGTAAAGAAAGCAAGAGAAGCATGGAAAGTCTGGGCAGATGTAAGTATGGCCTTTGTTGTCTAAAGCTGAAACAAGTCCTCTCATTTTTTTTCCTTGTTTTTATTTATTTATTTTTATTCTTCCTCTGTGACCCTTATGGGTACCTATGGTAATTGCAGTGAGATTTTACTCTGTCACCCAGGCTGGAGGGCAGTGGCACGATCACAACTTACTGTAGGCTTGACCTCCTGGGCTCAGGCACTCCTTCTGCCTCAGCCTCCCTAGTAGCTGGGACTGCAGGTGTGTTCTATCACGCTTGGCTAATTTTTTTTTTTTTTTGTAGAGACAAGGTCTCATTTTGTTGCCTAGGCTGGTCTTGAACTTCTGGACTTAACTGATTCTCCCACCTCGGTCTCTCAAAATGCCTGACTGTAGTGATGGTAATTACCAACACCTAATAAGCATGCCAGTGCCTCCTTGTTGAAATATGTGCTCCTTGAGGGCTGTGATACTGTATTGGACTTCTGCTGGCTTGGGGTGTCTTCCGCTGTATTCCTAGAATAGTGCTTTTTCCCTATCTGGTATTCAGTGCATGGGTAATATTAAATGGATTAAAACTTTGTACTGACGTCCTGTAAACTCAAGCTGTGAACACTGTTTTCCACTGAAGTTACTTGAATTTATGATTGAGCAAATAGAAGATATATGCTAAAAATACCTGTTTGCTCCTGCTCCTCTGTCCCCCTGCCAGATTTTTCTGGGAGTGTCTCAGCAATGGGCCAGCATTCTTGGTGGAAAGAGCCATGGCTGCATCTCTTTCTCAGGGCAAGGGGCTCATGTTCCTTGACTGATCAGATCAGATAGTGAGGCAGGGTCTACTTCTTCCATCTGTCTTACCAGGGGTTAAATGAGTAAATGTAGGAACTGTGACCAGTGCTAGGCTGGCCACACTGACCTGTCACTAGGTGGGGGCACGATCCTGTGGAGGGGAAGGTAAAGGAAAATGGCAGTGGCTTGATTTCTCACTTCCCTTACTCCGCCGTCTTCATTGCACTTTGTCTTATAAAAAGGGGAGACCAGGAGTGCCTGCCTCCTGGGGTTATTGTGAGGGTTAAATGAGTTAATCATTTAAAGTACTTACAGGAGAGCCTGGCACAGGACAAGCCTCAATAATTATTTTATTCTGTCCAGGAGTACTGGCTCACACCTGTAATCCCAGCACCTTGAGAGGCCAAGGCGGGAGGATCACTTGAGTCCAGGGGTTCGAGACCAGCCTAGGCAACATTGTGAGACCTCGTCTCTACAGTAGATAAAAAAATTAGCCAGGCATAGTGGCCAGCACTTGTAGTCCCAGCTACTTGGAAGGCTGATGCAGAAGGATTGCCTGAGCCCAGCAGGTCGAGGCTGCAGTAGCTGTGAGCATGCCACTGACTCTAGCCAGAGCAACAGAGTGAGACTCTGGTTCAAAACAACAATAACAACAGCAACAAAAATTATTTTATTCTGTGCTGCTGGACTTGGTACTGTTGCGTCTCTGTTTTCTCAGACTCAGGGATTGTAGGGGGCTTGGGGGATGGAGTGAGTATGAGAGTAGCAGCCTGTCCAAGACAGAACCCTAGGCTGGATGCAGTTTTGTGGTCTGCCAAGAGACCCTTTGGGCAAAGTACATCTACATCTTTCTTTTACTTGAATTCTGGTTATAAATTAGGCTTAGTGTTCCTTTATACACAATCAAAATGTCCTTGAGCAGAAAAATACCACTTCCACAAGTAAACAGAGTGCTAGGTAAAGTTCACCTTACCTGAGTGGAAAGCCATATCCAAAACAGTGTCATTTATTTTATTGTTTTAAAAATTACTTTGATTTCTTTCTGATCATAAAAATAATATTCCTTGTTAGGAAAAAAGTTTGATGTCGTAAATAAAATAATAAAATTTAGTCCCCTTTCCCCAGCCTCCTCAATACAAAATGGTTATTAGAGTTATGTCTTGGTGCATTTTTTTCCCAGTTTTATGTGTTTATTCCATAGTTGTGATTATATGGTGTGTGTAAAATTTTGTGACCTGTGATTGCATTGTATACCAGCCTAAAGTTACTGCATAATTTTTGAAATCATTGTTTTCCTATACATATATTTTAAAAAAATTAATAGACTTTGTTTTTTGAGCAGTTTTAGGTGTACAGAAAAAAATGAGTAGAAAGTACAGAGTACTGGCCGGGTGTGGTAACTTGCCTGTAATCCCAGCACTTCGGGAGGCAGAGGCTAAAGGATTGCCTGGGGTTCCAGACCTGTTTGGCAATATGGCGAGACCTCATCTCTACAATAAATACAAAAAAGTTAGCTGGATGTGGTAGCACACACCTGTAGTTCCAGCTACTTGGAAGGCTGAGGTAAAAGGATTACTTGAGCCCTGCATAGCCATGGTTGTACCACTGCACTTCAGCCTGGGTGACGAGAGTGAGACTCTTGATTCAAAACAACAATAATAACAACAAAAAACCAAACCCTCATTCCTCTTTTCAAGTTTCCCCTATTAACATTTTACTTTAGTATGGCATATTTGTTACATTTGATGAGCCAATATTGACATATTAACTAAATACACCATTTACTTTAGGTTTCCCTCTTTGCATATACAACTTTTGAATGCTAGTGCAACTTAACCAGAAATGTCTTGTTTTTTAACCAGAAATGTCTATTGTATGTGTGTTTATTTAGCCAGGATAAATACAAATATGTTTGAAAAAAGAATTTGTGTGAATCCAGGGTCTTGTCTTTTCCTGAACTGGTTTTTAAAATCTGTCTTTGCTTTGCTATAGGGGTGGCAGCTGACATGATGGTATCTTTCTTTCCTGTTGTGCTGTACTTTTGTTGTTGCTGTTTTCACGTTCAGGATCTCAGTTGGCAGTCAACTCTTACCCACACTGCCAGCCTCTGCACTTAACACCCCTTCTCATACTTCTTTTGCTTTTTTAGATCTCCCAATAGAGTTGGGTGCTAAGTGGGAACAGGTTGCTTTTCTGGGTGATAGTAGAGTCAATTGGGAATCCCGCTTGTTTGATTTTGAGTTAAGCAGTTGAGTTCAAAGTTTGGAAAAGGGGCAGAATTTTTCCTGACTGTGCTTCTGGGACTCCTGCCAATAGGGCAGTGACTTAGAGAGGTGGCCGGTGCCTCAGTAAGAACAGACCAAAGTTGATCCCCTTCTGGTCTACCAGCTTTCCCTCTTTGATCTTCCCTTACCTCTGCTTGGCCCTGATCCTTTTGGCTGGCCTTGCCTGTGTTGGGATAAACCACTGTTTCATTGGTTCATTTGAGTTAGGGCTGGAACATTTTCTCTTCAGGGAAATGGAAACAAAGTGAAACATATGGAGAAAGTAGTTTATAAAAACTGATTTCTTTCTCATGAATACTGGAACTTGCTGCTTTCCATCATAAGCTAGTTTCAGCACAGAATGTCACTTATTTCTGCTCCTCTGCATCCCCGGTGTATCCTTATTTTTCTTCTCCATCTCTGGTGAGAAGGAGCCAGAGTCTCTTCCATCCCTTGAGGACAGAAACTGTTTAAAGGGCTATGTCTGACTGCAGAAAGAAATACCAGATGACTGGTAGCTCTTTATTGTGGGTCTCTGTAATATTTTCCCAAAGATTCAGCTAATACTACCTCAGTGCTTTTAGTTCCCTCCACATGGCTGTCTGATTTCCATTCCATATTTGATTACTAGTGAAGTATGCAGGCATGAGGACTCTTTTTGCCCATCTAGGGAAGGAGGCCTGGGATTGCTGGTGGCTTGTCATGCTAGGACCAGTTTAGCTCACGCTGGTATCTTCATTTCCTGTTCCTCCCTTATTTCTCCCCAATGCTAATCCTGGCTTTCTCTACCCTTGTTGCTCCCATGAATCCTCTGGGTAGCTAAAAAAAAAAAAATAATGATGCCAAGTTTGAGTGGTCTGGGGTAGAGATGTGAAAGTTCCATGGGTAGTGCTTCTAATGTGTGGTCAAGGTTGAGAACCAGTGATCAGTTACCAATTGCCAATGATGATCATGGCTCACTACAATCTCGACTTTCAGGGCTCAGGCAGTCCTCTTGCCTCAGCCTCCCAAGTAGCTGGGACTACAGGTGCATGTCACCACACCTGGCTAATTTTTTGATTTTATTTTTTATAGAGACCAAGTTTTGAGAATTTTAAATTATATTGATCTCTAATGCCATTTTGGTAATAGAGACAGTCACCATCTCTCGGCTGTCCTATGGGGCTTTATGACTGAGTCTTGTCTCCTTCTCATTTTCTTTCCTTTTTTTTTTTGAGTTAGAGTCTTACGCTGTCGCCCAGACTGGAATGCAGTGGCCGCTCCCGGCCACCGCAGCCTTGACCTGCTGGGTTCTGGTGATCCTTTCGCCTCAGCCTTCCAAGTAGCTGGAACTACAGGTGTGCGCTACCACACCCGGCTAATTTTTGATTTATTGTAGAGATGAGGTCTCGCCAAGTTGCCCAGGTAGGTCTCGAACCTGCGGGCTCAGGCAATCCACTCACCTCAGCCTCCCAAAGTGTTGGGATTACAGACTGAGCCACCAAGCCCGGCTCCCTCTCGTTTTCTACAACTGCAGCTAGAGTGATATTTTAAAATGTGTTGCAATTTTCCCACTCTTCCTTAACAACTCTCTGCAATATTGCCCCTACTTTCCTCTCCTGCCTTTTTGAACTCCTTATAATTTTCTAAAACCACTGTATTCTCTCTTGCTTTTTGGTCTTTGCATATGCTCTGCTTCCCTCCCCCTCTGTCTTGTTTTCTTCTACTTTCTCTGCCTCTTCACCTGGCAAACACCCATCATCCTTTAGGTCTTAACCATAAACTCTAAACTTTTAAAAATTCCTTCCTCCCCACTCCCTTACCCCCAAATTAACACTCCTATGTGCTCCTAGATTGTAATTGCTTGTTTTTTGTCTCTACCACCTCCAGTGGACCATCACCTCTAGTGGGCAGGAATTATTTTTGTTTGTTTTGAGTCAGGGTCTCACTCTGTTGCCCAGGCTCGTGTGCAGTGACATGATCATGACTCACTGTAGCCTCGACTTCCTGGGCTCAGGCAATCCTGCTGCCTCAACCTCCCAAGTAGCTGGGACTGCAGATACGTGTTACTACACCTGGCTAATTTATTTATTTATTCAGTATTTTTTTAGTCCCCCTGGAGCTCCTGACTGCAGGGCCTGCCTTGCCCACCGCTGCTGGAGAGCAGCGGCTCTCTCCCTCTTGCCTTCTGAATTTCATGCCAAAGGCTTCTGGGGCAGCCTCGTGTGTTCAGAACCATGCTGGCGAGGGAGTGTGGTTCTAAGCCTCCTGCCCTTGTACTTCAGGGGTTGATGTGGCAGCGTGTGTGTGGGAAGGGTGCAAAGAACCAACAGACAAGAGCTGGCAGAAACCTTCTGGTGCCATGTCAGGTGCCCACTGATATGTCTATGAATTCACCCCTTCAACAAATATCTGTTGAGTGCCCGCTCTGTGCCAAGCATCACTCTAGGCCTGCTGATAGCATAGTGAGCAAAAACAGACAAAAACCCCTGCCCTCATGGAACTAGGCAGAAAATAGACAAGATAGATAAGTAAAATACATAATTTCAGAAAATGATAAAACTAAGGAGAAAATAGAGCAGACATGGATAGGAAGTTAAACTTTGGATGAAACATTCCAGGAAGACCAACGAATAATGAATACATGAATAAATAAATGAATTTTTCTTTTTTGAGTTGAGTCTCACTATGTCGACCAGGCTGGAGTGCAGTGGCACACTCACAGCTACCGTAGCCTAAACCTGCTGGGCTCAGATGATCCTTCCGCCTCAGTCTTCCAAGTAGCTGGAACTACAGGCACATGCCACCACACCCAGCTAATTTTTTGATTTATTGTAGAGATGAGATCTGGCCAAGTTGCCCAGGCTGGTCTTGAACCCGTGGACTCAGGCAATCCTCTCACCTTGGCCTCTCAAAGTCCTGGGATTATAGGTGTGAGCCACCACACCTGCCTAAATAAATTCTTATGATGCTTAGTGTCATGGTGTCAGTATGACATCGTCTGGTTTTTTTTTGCTTTTGTTTTTGTTGTTGAGTTGGAGTCTTACTCTGTCACCCAGACTGGAGTGCAGTGGCCGCTCCCGTCCACCGCAGCCTCGACCTGCTGGGCTCCGGCGATCCTTCCGCGTCTGAATGGCTCAGAATTCACTTGGTCGTTTCTTGTGGCTTCCGTGTTGGTTCTCAGCTGAGGGAAACCTGCTACTGTGCACTGGGTAGTGCCAGCCAGAAGGTAGAGTAGCTGGTAAGGGCACAGAGTATCTCGCTTTTCTGGTCCTCTTGGACTGGCAAACCACCGCTAATGAAAATAATAATGGCATAATAACAGCTAATGTTGAGTGCTTACTCAACACCAGCCACTGTCCTAAACCCTTTACATGTTGCTTCATTTAATTCTCATGACAACCCTGTGAGAGGATCACTGTGATTAGTCCTATTTTATAGATGTGGGAATAGAGAAATTGAAACATGCCCAAGGACACTCAGGTGGTACGTGTCAGAGTCTAGAACTGAACTCAGGCAGTCTGATTCCAAATGATTTTTTTTTTTTTTTTTGAGTTGGAGTCGCATTCTGTTGCCCAGACTAGATTGCTGGGCTCCAGTGATCCTTCGCCTCAACCTTCCAAGTAGCTGGAAGTACAGGTGCGCACTATCACGCCAAGCTAATTTTTAAAATTTTTATTGTAAAGACGAGGTCTCACCAAGTTGCCTGGGCTGGTCTTGAACCTACGGACTCAGACAATCCACTTGCCTCGGCCTCCCAAAGAACTGGCATTAAAGGATGAACCACCGAGCCCAGCCTGATTTTTTTTTTAAATAGAGACTAAGTCTCACTTTGTTGTCCAGGCTGATCTCGAACTCCTGACCTCAAGCAATTCTCTTGCCTCTGCCTCTCAAGTGCTGGGATTACAGGCATGAGCCACCATACTGGCTCTCTAGTGGACCAGAATTGTAACTGCCTTGTTTGCAGTAGAATTCCCAGAGATGAACACAGTATCTGGTATATAGAATGTGCAGGAGCTGGGCTCGGTGGCTCAGCCTGTAATCCCAGCACTTTGGGAGGCTGAGGTGAGT